AGGCAAAATAGCAACCTATTTCCCAAACTAGGCCTAGTTTGGACGGAATTCCCAAACTAAGCTAAAACGCTATTACAAACCACGCTTTCACCGTTTTTGTGGTCCTCCCGCGGAAAATTTGTAAAATCGTAAAAGCGTGGTTACAAACCACACTTTTAATTAAGAAAGCGTGGTTACAAACCACGCGTTTAAGGAAATTTGATTTATACATAAAACTTTGTTAGAAATCACGCTTTTAAGTAAAATTTGTTTTTTTTTCAAAAAACGTGGTTGCGAACCACACTTTTACTGTTGCTATTAGCGTTGTTAGGTCACAATGTAAAAGCGTGTTTTCAAAACACGTTTTCAATAAATAAAAAAATCAAACCTAGCACTTACACTCTTCTTTCTTACACTCACTCACTCACACACACACACTCTCTCTCTCTGACACACACACCCACAACACTCACACACTTATATCAAACATATATAATTTTTAATATATATAAATTTTATTTTATAAAATTGAGACCAATATTAAATATATATATATATAATAATTTATAATAGCAAATAATAATCAACTATATAATTTTTATAATTTTTGTAAATATAAATCATTTTTATATAATTTTTATCTTTCGAGTGGTTAGAAATAAGTTTTTACAAATTAAATTGAAACAACCATACGTATGTATATAACCTGCCAAAAGTTAAAATGATAATTATTTTTTTCCCTTAAATGATAATTATTTTTTATTTTTTATTTCTTAACCAAATTAATTTTAATTTTTAATTTTTAATTTTTTTTTCTAAATATCAAACTATATATAGCCTAAAAATATTTTGATAAGTCATTTTTTACGTTGGTAACTTATTTAATTATTTGTTAATTTTACGATATTTTTACCATCTGAGGCATGTTTGGTAACCATTTCGTTTTCAGTTTTCAATTTATATTTACAAAATTTAAAAAACTATCATGAAAACTTGTTTGATAATTTTTTTGGTTTATAAATGGTTGTCTCAATTTGTAAATTTGAGAAAAAAACGTAAATTCAAAAAAATGAGTTTACGTTAGTTTTTAAACAAAAATTTGAAAAATTTATTAACAAATTTTTTTTTCAAATAACTTTTTTTGTTCAATTAATTTTTTTTTTTCAAATAATTTTTTTTTCCAATTAAATTTTTTTTTTCAATGAATTTTTTTTCCAACTAGTTCTAACCGAAGGGCGATTAGTAATGATATTTTAAACCTTAGGGAGGGGATTGTAATTTCTAAAATGTAATAGGTGTCAATATAATTTACCCAGTGAGGAAAAAATTGGTATTTAAAAAAATTAAATTGCTGAGGGGAATCTGTAATGAAACTTTAAACCTCAGAGGAGAGATGTAATTTCGAAAAGGTGAGGGGGGAACTGCAATAAATATAAACCTCAGGGGGTGTCAGTGTAATTTACCTAAATAAAAATAAATAAATTTTAAGAATTAAAGTAAAAAAGTAATCATTTTATATAGTTGATTATTATTTGCTATAATAAATTATTATATATATATATATAATATTGGTCTCAATTTTATAAAATAAAATTTATATATATTAAAAATTATATATGTTTGATGTGAGTGTGTAAGTGTTGTGGGTGTGTGTGTCACAGAGAGAGAGAGAGAGAGTGAGTGAGTGAGTGAGTGTGAGAAAGAAGAGTGTGAGTGCTAGGTTTGATTTTTTTTATTGAAAACGTGTTTTCAACACGTTTTTACATTGTGGCCTAATAACACTTATAGCAACAGTAAAAGTGTGGTTCACAACCACGTTTTTTGAAAAAAACAAATATTACTTAAAAGCGTGATTCCTAACAACGTTTTATGTAAAAATCAAATTTCCTTAAACGTGTGGTTTGTAATCACGCTTTTACGATTTTACAAATTTTCCGCGGGAGAGTCACAAAAACGGTGAAAAGCGTGGTTTGTAATAGCGTTTTAGCTTAGTTTGGGAATTCCGTCCAAACTAGACCTAGTTTGGAAAATAAGTTGCTATTTTGACTTAATTTGGGAAAACCCCCCATGACCTTTTCACCAACAAATTTAATAAATTGGTCTTTATGTCCTCAAAATAACCACCTCGTCTCCTCAATGACTTATACGGTTAAAAATATGAATTTATGAAGGATTTTCTTTATTTTTAATTTTGTTGAAAGTTTCACTTAACCTGGATGAGCTTGCAAAAAGGGCCACCAAGCTGGCCCGCGAGATTTACCCAACTGGGTGCAATTTATGATTTATTTTTTTTCATAATTTTTGTTGAGCTTGCCGATTGGATTGGTGAGTAAGCCGATGAATCAACTCTTGCAGCCAACAAATAAGATTTTAAACATTAGGTTTAAACCTTGCCTAAGTTTCATTCAGACTAGGGATGGCAATTTGAAATCAGCCCAACGGGGACTCGACCCCCCGACCCCAATTAGAGCTGTTTTTTTCCCGAAAAATATCCCTTACGGGCAGAGGATGGTACTCAAAAATAAATCCCCGATGATTTTCGGGCCGAGGATGGTGATATGTTTTTCACCCCTGGCCCCGACCCCGTCCCCGTTAGCCCCCCGAATCAAAGTTACTATATATGCCCCTTAATATATAACATGTAACTATTATGTTTTGTCTCTCTCTCACTCTCTCTCTTTCCTCTACACCCTCTCACTCTCGCATCTCTCCTCTCCTCTCCTCTCTTTCACTGTCGCACCCCTCATCTCCGCCTCCTCAGCGCAGCCGTCACTGTCCGCGACGCTGGAGTGGCTGTTCACCTCGCACCGCTGTAGCGCCGCTCCACCTCCGTCGACTCCGCCGTTCGCTCTACCTCCATCGCTGCCCTCCGTCAACTCCGCAGTCACACAGAGATCTCAGATCTGTGTTGATCTCCTCCGTTGTCGCCGCCGATCAGCCGATCTCCTTCGTCGTCCTCTCTATGTGTGTATATATGTATGTGTGTGTCTCTGTGTGTATGTATGATGTATGTGTGTGCTCTGTGTGAATGTATACATGTGAGTATGTATGTATGTATGTATGTATGTATTTGTGTATAATTTTTTGAGCATGTTGCTGATGATGTTGATGGTGTTGAATATTGAAACAGATTTGGATCGGGAAACTTTCGGGGTCGGGGAAACCCGATCCCCGTTGGGGCCGGGGATGGGGACCGTGATAGGTTCCCCGTCGGGGATAGGGGCTGGGGAAGTTTTGGCCATCGGGGATCGGGGACGGGGAGTGGGATCCCCGGCCCCGACCCGCCCTGTTGTCATTCCTAATTCAGACTGGCCATTTCGTCCAAAAAGGACTTAAGCGAGGTAAAAATTCCAAGGTCACAATCATTATGACCAAATAATAGTCCTTATAATTAGGGAGCCACTATTCTTACTATATTTTATTCTAAATATATTTTATTTTTTATTCTTATTATACATAGTTAATACTTTCAAAGTTTTAATTTTTTCAGTGAGTATATTTTTTGTAAAAATATATTAGTATAATGATGTATAATAAAGATAAAGAAATGAACGTATTTGAAGTAAAGTAAAATGTGTAATTATGCTTACAAATTTTTTAGACTCAAAGTCAAATGGGCATAAGGAACAAATTAGTGCCAATAAATTAAGATTGTAATTTGGGAATATGAAAAAATAGTAAAAAAATAAAAAAATGGGAGTTTTTTTTAGTAAATTTTCTTTCTAAGAGTTTTATTCCATCCAACCCATATTCTTTTTTACTATTCCATTAGGACCTATTTGAGGTAAAAAGACCAAAACACCCCCAATCTCTCATGCCCCTTATTAATGTTGATATTTAATGTTTATTATCATTATGTTTTGGTAGTTCCCATGCATCAGGATGTTGACTGTCATTATATTCATATTAATTTGAAATGAATTTTTATTATTGTGTTGTCAATTACATGATGTGAATATCACATCCTGTAATTAAAATGAATATTCACATTAATTTAAAATGAATTTTTGTCATTGTGTTGTCAATTACATGATGTGAATATTCATACTAAAACATACGAATGTGAACATTCACATCACTATATGTTGTGAATAAGAATGTATTATCAATTAAAATATGATGAATGTTATTTTTAATTTGGTGTCAAAATAAGATGGTTCACATGTTGTGAATGTTCACATCATTACATTAGATGAAAGATAATTTTTTAGAAAGGTGTAGTGAACGTTCATATCAGATGAGAGAGAATGTTCACATTATTTTTAATGTATTGTCAATTAAAAATATATTCACATCATATAATAATATAAAATAATAACATCAATATTATTTAATTTGTGTATGAAATTTTCTATGTCATGGTCCTTTCCCTTCTCTCTCCTACATCAAATATTAAATATTAATATTAAATATAAGGACATAAGAGCCTAAGAAAATAATATAAATCAAGAAAAAAGACTTTATAAAATAAAAATATAAATACATAAGATTAAGAGAGTTAAAAAATTCCTTCATTCTAAATAGGATTTATTAATAAAAATCCCTAAAAAAATCCTACCTATCCTCTCTATTTATTTTTGCACATTTGTCATAAAAAGAATTAAACTCATTATCCAATCACATTAATTTTTTCCATTTTATATTTTAATTAAAAAATAACTTTCCAATCAAACCCTAAATAGAATGACAACCATCTTTCAAGTCGGATATGAAAATATTTTCTCGGACTGATTCGACCCGGCCTGGCCTATGTATTATAGTGATGTGCTGGAAACTTGTAATTCGAAACAAATTTCTCAATTTTTTTTTTGCACGTTCATCATAAAAAGAATTAAACCCATTATTCAATCACATTAATTTTTTCCACTTTATATTTTAATTAAATAATAACTTCCCAATCAAACCCTAAATAGGCTAAATAGAATGACAGCCGCCTTTCAAGTTGAATATGAAAACATTTTCTTGGGCTGATCCGACCCGACCCGGCCCGGCCTATGTATTATAGTGATGCGTCGGAAACTTGCAATTAGAAACAAATTTCTCTGTCAACCCCTTCCGTATCTCAAATTTTCGATGAAACACCTTCAAAAGTTCAAACTTCGATCATTTGTTTCTCAATCTATAGCCAGGCTTGAAATTCAAGCAATCCAGACATGAATTTCTTCGCGATCTCTCAAAAAATTGTAAGCTAAATCACTTTCACAACACTCTCATCAATCTCTCTTTTCTCTTTCGCAATTGACTAATTCATTGTTTGAATCCACTTCTCAGACATGAGTTTCCTCAAAAGCCTCGTCGATTCCTTGAACTCAATTCTTTCTGGTTCTTCTTCTCCTTCTTCAGCATCATCTTCGTATGAGACTCAGCAAAACCCTAGCTCCGCAATGGAAGGTGTTGCTGGGGCTTCGAACGAGCGAACTGCGTATAAGCTCAAAGGCTACTTTGATTTGTCCAAAGAAGAGATCGATAAGGCTGTTCGAGCTGAAGAGTGGGGTTTGGTTGATGATGCGATTGTGCATTACCAGAATGCTCAGCGAATATTAATGGAGGCCACTTCAACACCTGTCCCCTCATACATCAGCTCTAGGTATCAAGTATTGTACTTGACTGAATCATTTTTTCACTACATATGTTCATATTTATGTGTCTATATGTATGTTTGTATGTATATATATATATAGTAGTGTTGTGCATTTCAAATAAGTAAACATAAAATAAATGATAAATAAAAATTAAGGTAAACTATCAATATTTCCTAATAGTTGGATTTAATTATCAAGTCCAATCGAAAATAAGTTTTATTAAAATCATCACTAAAGTTAATTTTTTTGTGACGCTTTTTTTGCATATATTGCTAAAAATTAACAATTAGTAACTTTTTTTGTCACAATTTTTTATAAATTGTCGCTAAAACTTATAATTAGTGACGAATTTTTCAAACTGTCAATAAAACTTATAATTAGTGATATTTTTTGTGATAATTTTCAAACTGTTGTTAAAAATTAACAATTAGTAATGTTTTTTTAATAGTGTTTAATAAAAAATACCATTAATTATCATAGGACTTATTGGACGATAAATTTATTTATTAGGACCTACACGTAAGTGTCCCATTTGCTATGTAACTTTTTTTTGTTTTTAATAGAGAAACCCATGTGCCAGGTGGCATGAACCTTTGCTTTCTATAATAGTATAGACTAGAAAGGCTAGGTAATGCCCTTGTAGAAATGAAAGATGATTAAACTCAATGTACATGGAAGAAAAACAAGTTGAACTATCAAAACTTGAAATAAAAACTTGAGCAGTTACATAGAGATAATTTGGGCAAGAAAAAATATTTGATGTATTTTGCCAAGGGAGTTGTGTGCTTTATATAATAGAATAACAAAAAAGATGTATGCAAGTTTACTGTCTAAACACATAACATGTTGTAAACATTCCCTTCATTGGATGAAGAAGCTCTTTATCAAATTTCTAGTAACTTAGAAGTAGATAGTTTAAACTGGAGCTGATTTAAAGTATGTGGTTGGGCAATTGATCTGCTCATGGAGCCACTCTGACTTTTTTGATTTTTTCGTAACTGTTATATTCCATTCGCTTTTTCGCTGGTGCAGAGATTGATTATTGAGATAGGATGTAAGTTGTTGGCTTTGTCCACTTGACAAAACTGGTATTGGGATTATGTTGTAATGGGGCTGGGTAGTTTAGACACGGCTGAGAGTGTGATTGTTGAAGACCTCACTTGGCTATTAAAGGCATCAGAGGCCTCCGCTTTGTCATCCTCGTAGAGTTGTAATTATATGTATATTTCATGTTGATTGCACCCATGTCACATATCGTCCTAAATGCTTTTATCGATTCTATTTTGAGAATGATGGGGCTTGCACTGGACTTCTTATTGCAAAATTTTCAAAATTTTTGAGTTTTTTTTAGATTTGCAAAGGCCATCTCTAGTGAAGGGCTTGAGTCCCCTAGTGGAGTTGCAATTGAGCTCATTTAGAAGCGATCAAGCTCTATTGTGCGCTTGAGTGACCAAGCACAGTTGTGACTTGGTTAGCATTGATTTTTGTTTGCCAAATTCCAGTGTCTAGCGCTTGGCACTTGCTGGAGTTGGAGCATATATTATTAGTTCTTAAGTTCTCGATCGACTGTGGTCAAACTTTTTCAGTGCTCACGTTGTCTTTTCTTATCCAACCAAATGGTGCATAAAGGTAGTTTTGTTGTGTCTTTCCCCTTCAACTTTATGTTTTTTTGTTAACAGTGAACATGAGAAGGTGAAAACTTATCGCCAAAAGATATCAAAGTGGCAGGGCCAAGTTTCAGAGAGACTTCAAACTCTAAGTCGCCGAACAGGTTCACATATAATATTCTTCACAACTTAACCAACATTATTGTTTTCATAGTCTGGCATTGATCTTGGGAAACTGCTGACATTTGTTCTGTTTCGTTTTTGTTCACGTCCTCTTTCTCTCTTTTATTCTCCAGGTGGTATTACCACATCGAAGGTATGGATTGGCTTGACCATGGTGTATGTATTATGGTTTCTTTAAGTCCAAAATATGAATTATTGGTTGGTTTTATCAAACCTGTTTGTCCTCGAATAGTTGTGGTAGCTCTCCTTCCCCCTAGCAATTAGGATTAAGCTTGTTCAGTTTAGATGAGGATTCTCCTAGGAAAAAGACAATTCAACAATAACAAGTAAATAGATAGATAGGTAGATACTGTCCACTGTCTAACTCTATACTCGTGTAGACTTCATATCAGCTGATGATATATAATTAGGATATCTATTTGTAAAAAAAGTGTTCAAAGAAAATTTGATATCCTCTTCTTGAGCATTGAAAGAGCATGGAAATGAATAGTCAATTAACAGGTTAGCAGTGCATGCTGTCTGTCTGCAATACTTCTAGAGGACTTTTTCTTTATCTCAAGTTACTTATCCTAGCCAAATAAGGGTTTATGAGTTTCCACTGAAGCCTAACTTTGACTTTTTTATTACGTATTTAAAATTTAAATGCTAATTTAAGTTGCTAAGATAAACTATTGTTGGGGGGAACACGCAAAAGGAAGGTGTGAGCATCCTCCTGTGCTTAGTCTGGTACATTAGCAAGTTCATTTCCTACTTTTTTCCATGTTTGTAGTTTCTGAACGATTTAACAATGTTGTTAACGTCCATTCCTGGAAGGCTATAACATTGTCTTAAATATTCTCTGCAGAACACCTCTACTCATGCACAAAGTGCAGCAGTTTCATCGAGGACATCTAATGCTAGAAAAGGTGCAATCCAAAAGTCTACTAGCTTACCTAGATATGGTTCAGTTGTGAGAAATCAGACCGATAACGTCGTAAGCTCAAAACCTGTACAAGAATCTGGTTCTGGTGTTGATGCAAAATTGGTTGAAGTGATAAATTCTGTCATTGTTGACAGGAGTCCTTCTGTTAAATGGGAAGATATTGGTTAGAAACTACAGCATACTTTCTTTCTTATTATTTTTTCAGTTTCTTTTGCTTGTCATTTCTGCTTTAAGAAGCTATAGTTTTACTTCTCGAAGTTTGTTTGCAGCTGGCCTTGAAAAGGCAAAACAAGCTTTATTGGAGATGGTAATCCTCCCTACTAAAAGAAGAGACCTGTTTACTGGTCTTCGACGGCCTGCTAGAGGTAATCTCTTGGAAGCAAGGTTTCGAAAAGTGGATGCGGTTGTAGGGTGTAAAAGTCGTAGCATAACAATTGCGGTAACCGAAATCGTGAATTTTTTAATTTTTCGCACAATTTGAAAAAAATTTACGGATATGCATATATATATATATATATATATTTCAGAATCACATTTATTAGGGTTGAAAATAGATTTTAATCAATTTTTGTTCGTTTTTAAGTATGATCCAATATATTTCATATTTTTAAATCATTATAAAATGAGCTTTTTACATTTTATTTTAATAGTTAATGACTTTAAGAATAATTAATTTTAAATCTCTAAAAAATTATTTTTGACCAATACTTGAACTAATTAAATAAAAAATATTTACAATTATTAAATAAAACGATTATAAAAATAAAAATTATGCTATAAACAAAAATTATTTTTGAGCTAATGATTTTTTTTTTAAAAGACATTTTTTTAGACAACACTTTACAGCTAACTAAATAAAATTATTTATAATTAAGTATTAAATGAAATGATTATAAAAATAAACATTGTGCCATAAAAATTATTTTTGAGCTATTTGATTTTTTTTAAAAGACATTTTTTAGACAACACATAACAATAACAAAATAAAAAATATTTACAATTAAATATTAAATGAAATGATTATAAAAATAAACATTGTGCCATAAAAATTATTTTTGAGCTATTTGATTTTTTTTAAAAGACATTTTTTAGACAACACATTACAGTAACAAAATAAAAATATTTACAATTAAATATTAAATGAAATGATTATAAAAATAAATACAATCATTGTTTATTTTATTTTACATGCTAACGTAATGAAATAAAAATTTAAAAAAAAAGTTATAAAGAAAAAAAATCCATACAAGGTTTTTTCTTTTGACTTGGATCACTTGATTATTCGTCCGTTTTTTATAAGATTTTTTTTTTTTTTGAAAAAACTATTTAGAATATTATAAAGGTGTGTAACAAACCGTTATGGGCCATTACGTAACACCAAAATGGTCGTTACACATGTGCATTTCCGTCACATCACAAAAGCGGGTGTAACGGGTAACGCCTACCACCGCAATTGTTACATAACGGCTGCTAACACCGCTTTTTGAAACCTTGCTTGGAAGCCTTTACCTTCAAATATCCGATGCTGTTTCACTTAAACAGTTTCTTTATGAAAAAAACTTGCATTTGTTGTTCAGGTTTGCTACTTTTTGGTCCACCTGGAACTGGGAAGACCATGCTTGCCAAAGCGGTAGCTTCAGAGTCAGAGGCAACATTTTTCAATGTTTCTGCTTCTTCCCTAACATCAAAGTGGGTATGGCTCTGTCTTAGTTTCCATATTAAATTTGCACTGTTAGAGGTTTTCATTTTGTATCTCCTTTCACAATTGAAGCTGTTATTGACTTCATTTTGAAATAGGTAGGGGAAGGTGAAAAGCTTGTTCGGGCACTCTTTATGGTTGCTGTATCCAGGCAGCCATCTGTAATTTTCATGGATGAAGTAAGCTACTCTCTGTGCAGAATAGTTGTGAGGATTCACCAGTGCCCTTGATTTGCTGTTTTATGTGCTAGTTCTGTGTCGTATATGCTCTCGGTTGTATGTAGAAGTAGACCTTATCTTTCATGGGCAAGAACGAAGCATAGTTCAAAAGACTTGATTAGCTTCAAATCATTTCATCCGTTTTATGGTACTCAAAATGGCCTACATTGATTCTCATCACTTCTTAACTAGAGGCTTCATGGTGACTAATAAACTGTCCATGGTTGGTTCCCTCATGGTTATACTCAGATCTAGAAAACAACCCACCTGTGCATGACAGGGTTGAGAATTTGGGGGCTGTCCCCTATCCTCATCAGTCTAAGCCTTGCTATGAGAACTGACGCTTTCTAACACTCTATGAGGGTCTGGCCCTACTTCAATTAAAGCTTGCAACTACTCATTCTGAGGTTGACCAACCCAAGCTGTTGCCTTACCTTTTGCTAAATGAAATATTTACTTAACCCAAAAAAAAAAAAGAAAAAAAAAAAGAAGAGATGTGGTTGCTTTACCTTTGCTTCCACAAAAGACCGAAGAGGATTCAACCAAAATTATTAACTTTCCATGGTCCCCAATGATGGAAGCCACCATGCAATCCGCATACATTCATTCTACTTGGAAAATATGGCTTAGTTAGCTCTCTACCCATCTATCTATTACTGATAGGCTTGGTTGGCTAAGTAAGTACTTCTCTTGTTAGGTTAGCTAGTAATTAACTTAGACATAATTGGCAAGGCTTTCACGCTAGTAAGTACTTCCACTGGCCACCACTCTTTTTTTGGTTAGCTAGTAATTAACGTAGACGTAGTTGGCAAGGCTTTCGTGCCAGTGCTTGGTATACATCATGTGTATAATAATCCTGTCTCCATTTGGAAATGGAACTTATATTTGGAGAAAAGAATGTTTATTGTGAGTTGATAACACCAAATCTTGCTTATTCAACAAAAATAGAAGGTAAGCATTGTTCTTGACGAACCTAACTAATTTGTCCTATAAACATCTCTGAAAATTTTAGGGGCCCTGAATAGGTAGCCATATTCAGAAAGGTTCAAATTTGAGAATTTTTGTGGACCGGAGGTTGGAATCCTATTGATTAGTGCTAGTTGGCTATGGCTGAATGTCTTGAGTGGTGAATAATTAATAATCATATGATGTCTGCTACATGACTGTGTTTAACTATGTGAATACTGCATGTACTTGCAATCTAGACCAATTTTACCATTTTGGCTTTCTTCTGCTGCCTCTCCAAACTTCCCACAAGCACAAGAGGCATGGTAGTGTACTTTGTTTTCTTACAATTGTTGGTATCTGTTTCTAGACTTTGCCTGATTATTTCTCATCCTTGTGCGTCACAATCAAGGTTTTAAAAAGCGGCCGCAACCGTTGGCGTTTACCGCCACCCGTTACGGCCGCTTTTGCAGTGTGATTGAGATTCACAGGTGTATCGGCCGTAGCGGCTGCCATAGCGGTCGTAACGGTGTCGTAACGGCCTGTTACGCACCGTTACGTAACGGTTTCAAACTGTTTCTTTCGAAAACACACACAAAAAAAAGCTAAAAATAGGGGAAGAGGGATAGAGAGAAGAGGGAAGATAAAGAGAGAAAATGGAGAAGCAAGAGATAGAGAGAGGGAAGAGGGAAGATGAAGAACATGTTATTGATTTGTTGAAACTGTAAGACCTATGCTATTCTATTCAGCTGCTATCACTAAACCATTTTGTTTGTGTCTATCTATATATTGTTTGATAATAATAATAATAATAATAATAAGTGTGGTCATTATCTATTTAGTTTGGTTAAAATATGTATATATATATTTAAGCTCTTATTTATTCTCTTACTTTTGTCATTGTTTATCTTATATATAATAGTTAGTAATTGATTTTTTTTATAATATAAAGTTATTAATTATTAAAATAAAATGTAAAAAACTCAGTTGATAATGATTTAAAAATATGAAATATATTAGATCATACTTAAAAATTTACAAAAATTGATCAATATTTATTTTTAACCCAATAAATATGATCATGGAAAAAAAATATGCGTATCGGTAATTTTTTTTCAAATTGTGCGAAAAATAAAAAAATTTACGGTTCCGGTTACCGCAACCGTTATACCACGGCCTTTACACCCCGCAACCGCAACCGCGTCACCACCACCGTTACGGCGACCGCAACCGCTTTTCAGAACCTTGGTCACAATATTCACAAATGATTGTTTTCTTACAATTGTTGGTATCTGTTTCTAGACTTTGCCTGATTATTTCTCATCCTTGTGCGTCACAATATTCACAAATGAATTTTTTCTTTTTCATATTGTTAACAGATTGATAGCATCATGTCAACAAGGATGGCAAATGAGCATGATGCAAGCAGAAGGTTAAAGTCGGAATTTCTAGTTCAGTTTGATGGGGTGACCTCAAATTCCGATGATCTAGTAATCGTCATAGGTAATGTCGTATTTCAATTCAATGTATCCCAAAATTGTCTATTCGGGATCAGTCATATAAAGCTGTAAACTATTTTATGCTATTTCTTTATCTATACTTGTATCGCTTAGAAAAGTTTAGGCGTCATGTCTTTTAGTATAATGTGATTCTATAAGAGGACGACTAACTGCCGCAAGAGGTTGGTTCAGCTGACTTGGTATTGTCAGGCTTATCTGAAGGTTTTAGGCAGTTGGGTTTGAACTGTCCACTTGAGTTTGTAAATGCTTCCTGATCTGCTTGCCTGTGGAATCGTAACAATTGAACCTTAGTAGTTAGTAGTAAAAGAGTACGTATTCAAATAAAAACGGGAATTGGTAGAAATGTGCATGTCCTTCATCTGCATCTCTCTAGTCTACAAATGCTCATAGAATGGAAGGATTCTGGGAAGAAGCATACGTGCTTACCATTGAATGACCTTTTTTATTGTACTTGCAGTATTCTTTCAAATTGATACTTAAATCTTAATTGCAGAGGATTTAATGACCAATTGATATAAATGTTACCTCATAACGCTAAGATCACATCAATGGATTTCAACATTGCCTTTTTGAGGGATGGATGGATGACATATTCATGTGAATTTTTTTTATGTCAATTTATTTTTGGGATTTAAGGAGAAGAGAACCTTCATATAGTTTTCTGAGGTGGAACTAGCAGACACTAGTTTATATTAGTGAATGTTAATCAATGTATTATGCCCGGTTGTATTCTACCCTCATCTTCCTCTTTGTTAACTCTTCTGTTATGTTAATGCAGGTGCAACTAATAAGCCACAAGAATTGGATGATGCAGTTCTTAGGAGATTGGTTAGTGTCCTGTCGCATGAACTTTCTGCAATTGTTTTAGGAGCTTTAAGTATGAATAAGTGATAGATTTTACTGGAAGGGATGTATCTTATTAATCGATATTAATCATTTAATGATATATGCTTGTGCAATATCTCATGAAAATATTGTAATTGTTGCAAGTAAATGGAGTCTTGTGTTTGAAACTTTGGATCTAACATTCATTGATTAGGCCCTTTCTTTTAAAGGCAAATTTTACTTTCTTCTTTTTCTGGACCATCTTTCATTCTTTGAATGACTACTAGCAAGTAGAAACTAGTGTGAGATGCATAAATTGCCATGGACATTGTGCTACTGCCTAGATAAGGACTCAGATAATGAGAACCTAGGAAATCATGCCAGAGCCAATGGATTGTACCAACTGAACGATTCAAAATTTTGGGTATATTGTTGTGTTTGAGATGAATGGTGGGAGGAGCTAATTCCATCAGGCATGCTTAGGTTTGGTCCAACTTAAATTTCTGTTGCTTTGTAATCAGGATTGAGGTAAAGCGTTTTGTAGGCATTAAGACTGTTTATGATGTCTGGATTTTGCTTCCAAGTTATATCAGCCAGCTGGATGAGTTGGGCATTAATTGCTAATTTTCCAAGTCCCATACTACCTTGCCTTGAGAAAATGGCTAAGCGCTTGTTGCTTGTCTGATGGTTCTATTGAATTATCATTAGGAATCTCTATGCTTGGTCATATAGTAAAAATTACTAAAATAAACACAGAAAAGGAAGAAAGACATGGCAAAACATCTGAACAATACTCTTGTCAATATCTTGTTTTGAAACTTCAATATATGGATGATACAAATTCAACTAGTTTTATTTATTTATTTATTTTTTAAATGTGAAATTGATTTCTGGTTGTACTTGTGATTGTTTGATTCGGAATCCTGAACCAGGTGAAGAGAATATACATTCCTTTACCGGATGCCCATGTTAGGAGACTTCTATTGAAACACAAACTCAAAGGCCAAGCTTTTTCCTTGCCTGGTAAGACCACACTCAAACTCCAGAACTGATTTTTCATTCACATAATTTTGATCTGAATGATCCTATTTTGTTGTTTAGTAACTTAGGCCAAGTTTGGCATCTCCCCAAAAAGCCAAAAAGTTACTCAAAAAGCTAAAAAGTTATCACTATTCACAAAAAAAAAAAAATATTAAAAAATTAATTTTCCAAGCCAAGTACAACTCAGTGATGTAAGCAATCACTGCTTTATGCTATGTGTGGCCGAACAAATCTGATCAGATTGGGTGCAATTGAACACACTGCTGTTTGGCCTTGGGGGGGGCCATCACGGGTCCCGTTTTGATAATCTGAACCGTTCAATGTGTAGAAATCGTCGAGTACTATATGCCTGTAAAAAATCACGTTGATCGGATATCGATAACTACATGATCAAATCAGTTTTGTATAAAAAAAAATGGATGGTGTCATAATTAATGATTGAAAAAAAAATCTGATCAGATAGCTATCGATATCCGATTAATGTGATTTTTTATAAGTATATAGTACTCGACGAGTTCTACACATTCAACGGTTCAGATTATCAAAATGGGACTCGTGATGGCCCCCACGGGCCGAACAAAACCGTTCAGTGCAATGCCCAAACATTGGCCAATAATTTCTTACCATCAATTCAATTACACAGATTGTACGGCTGCCAACCCACATTTCTAATCTTCTCCTACACACTTCTTTATACAATTTTTTAATACACATTTTTTCATAAAAAGTCAAAAAGTTAACACAAACATCCATATTTTTTTCCTCAACTTTTTAGTCCAAAAAGACAAAAAGTGTACTTATTTAGGACACCTCAAACAACCTCTTAGTTTCCTTCATCAGGCAAATGTTATGTGTAGTTTGCTTCATAGTTGTAGATTTGCCTTTTCTTGTTTTTTCCTTAGCTTTCAGTTTCAAAAATGATTTAAACTCATAAAAAGTATTTTAAATAGGTTTTGAAGAAGATTACTTTACACTAAACTCTGTAGAAAGTTCAAAGAAATGGTAAATTGTCCCTTAACAGGGGGCACAACTAGTGAAGGTATTTTAACTATGACAAGCATAGAATGGCATTCTTTTAGAACAATGTATTTCTCTTGGTTACAAGCAGAATTTTTTTTATGCTTAATATGTCTCTGATATTTTGTGTTTAGGTAGAGTTTGGGTAAGGTTGAATAGTTGTTATCTTCTGCCAATTTGAATATTTGGATATGAAATGAAACAATAAATCCTTGTGACTGATAACTTGTTTTTCTCACCCATTCTATTATTCTCACTTCTATTTATTATTTTTATTTGCACATTTTTTTAAAATTGTTGTGTTAGGACTTAACCATGCCTTAATTTCTTTCAAATTGCACAAGAAAATATGTGCTTTGATTCTGTTGGCGCAGATTTTTTCCCCTCCCCTTTCACATTCATCTTTTGCACAAGGAGTTTTTCTCCTTTTATTTGGCATGGGTTGCAATGGCAAACAAAGTCCTAAATACCAAGTAATGGATGTCCAGGAATTTGACCATATGCTAATCATTACCTTGTTGAGGTAAATGATATTGCCACAGCAGGGGAAATAATGCAAATTAACCATTTGAGTGAAATTTTTTCTGGAAGTAACAAAATTCTATTTGGGAGTAACCTTGTGCTTTTTAATAATAGAGGAGCTATGTAGGGTGTCTTTTGGATGCACTGGCTGTGTGTGCTTTTGATTGCTATTGAGAAAGATGCACCTTTTAATGGAGTAACTTTAATTCTTGTTTCTTGCAACAGCTGGAGATCTAGAAAGACTTGTTGAAGAGACAGAAGGTAAGACAATTTTTAATATCACGGTTGCTCTGTCCATGTAATGGTTGGACACTAGCAAACTCTGTTCTTGAGCCACTTGAGGGACTCTTGGCAGTATTGAGGCTTGATTGCCATATCGGATGGTATTTCTAGCAACATTCACGGACCTTATTGTTTGGCTACTCTCAATGCATAGGATATTCTGGAAGTGATCTACAAGCCTTGTGTGAAGAAGCCGCAATGATGCCAATTAGGGAGCTTGGTGCAAACATTCTCACCATCAAGGCAAATCAGGTATCCCGGCTAGCAATTTTCTATTTCATGAATGCCATCTGGTTTATGCCTCATTCTTGAGGCACCATTATACTTTTGTTCTAGTTTTAGTTCACAATAAAGTAATCCAAGTGTGGTGTATGCAAAAGTAGATTGTTAGAAGTCCTGTACGACTCATTTTGTGTGTTCTTTTATGCATGTTTCCAAGATGATTGAGCGATAGAATCCTTAATCTGAAATGGATTTGACATTGTTGTATTCTTCTTCTTCATGTTTGAAGCAAAACCAATTAATGAAAATGTTGTCGTACTAAGCTGCATTCAGAAATTGATGTGAGGATTTCAAATTCTTCCTCCTACATGTTTGAAGCAAAGCCACTTAGAATTTATTTCAAGAAAATTTCTTCCATGGTGTGGCAAAATCCTTCCAATGAAGTTGGTAAATTGTCAAAATTGGCCCTTTTCTGTTAAGATTAGGTAACTGATGCAGATGGATTGGTTATAATTGGTTTGAAATTGAAGAAAATTAAAAACCCATATTTTGTTTGTTGCAAGGGTTTATCTATTTATTTTCCTTTTCTTTTCTTTCCCCCAAAAGTATGGGGTTTAGTTGCTGGCATTGTCATTACCATCCAGTTCTACATTGTCTTTGATAAACAAATGAAGTACCGCAGACTTTTCTCTTGAACTCATTTCTTTTCTATACCAGGTGAGGCCATTAAGGTACGAGGATTTTCACAAGGCAACAACTGTTATTAGACCCAGCCTGCATAAAAGCAAGTGGGAAGAGCTTGAACAGTGGAACCGGGAGTTTGGCTCTAATTAGCTGCCTATACGACCTTTACATTATTTGGCCATGGAAAACAAATACAGGATACAATGTGAAGGGTAAAAGGAAAAAGAAGAATGGATCGGCTTCAAATGTACACATGTAAATGTGAGACGTTATAACCTGTATTTGTGACCTAAATTTAATCTCTTCCCTTGTATAAACATTGATTTGGAACATTTTGATGCTACGGAAGCTTCTACATTTGTTAATAGTGAAAATATGATTGGTTCAATTGGAAATAAATGTATCTTGTATGTTGTTACAAGTGATGTTGGTGGAAACAGGTAATTTGTGCAGCAATTTTTTATAGATACATAGAAGACTCAGGTAAACATACGAGTCATAATTAAAAACAAAAAAAAGTAAAAAAAGGAAGGTAATTTGTGCATCTTATAATTATAGAAAAAAATTATATAATTTTATATTTTATAAGTCATAACTAAAAAAAAAAAAGGAGTCATAATTAAATATTTTAAAATAATATTATAATTCAAAAAGAAAATTGATCATAATTAAAGAAGAAAATGACGTTATTTAAAGTGCATTGGATATGAGAGTGTTTTTCTGTGAATATATCAGGATAATGTACCTCTTAATTTTACATCAACAATAATTGAGACTTCCTTTTTTTTGGGATTCTTACAACTCTTTTTGAATCTTAATCATTGATGGTGTGGGTTCCACACATAGTGAGCTTCATCTTTGTAGGTCCCACATATGAGAGAGAAAATAATATGCTATGGTGGTGTATCTATTATACAAAATTATTGTCCCACATTTGTTGAATTTTGCACTTTGACTATGGAGCGTGAGATAAAATATTTGGGTATGTAGTAAAAAAATGTGATACATTTTATGTATTTTTTGGTAATAAAAATATAGCTTCTAAAATACATGCAAGGTGACCTATACGTTTATGGCCAAAGTCACCATGTTTCTTTTATTTATGCTGGTGGTTGTCACACGTAATGCGTGTGCTATTCAAATAAATAAAAATAAAATAAGAAACTTATTATATATTATGTGTTAGTCAAGTGGGAGTCTTATTCATTTGTTATAAGTCTAAGGTTCAAATCTCCTCCACTCATTTATCTAATTTTTTTTTAATTTTAAATAAAAAAAGTGGACACGTGACAGCATAAGAAACAAAGCTTCAGGACACCATAAGTGTTGTTCACTTTATAATAGTATAGATAGATAAAAAAAAAATTAAAATTAATTAAATATTGATAATTATTCAATTCGTAAATTTTTTTAATAGAATGCCCAATAATTTTAAAACAGCAATGCTGGAACCCCAGCACCCCACCTCCACGTGCCCCACTGTGAGAGCAAGCCCACAAAGATAAAAAATAAAAAAATAAAAAAATATTTGAGCCAATGAAAAAATAACGGGGGTGGTGGGGTCTCACGCTTTTTCCGATTTTAAAAATTAAACCATAAGCAATGTTCATTTTTTTGTTATCAAAGCCCTAAAATGAAAAGGAATTATTTCAAGGGTTAATTACACAATGACTTTCTTACCTATTAGTAAATATTATTGTATCTTTTCATCTACAAATCTGTCCATATTGACGCTTCAACTATAAAAATCCTATAAATATATACCATTTTTTTGAAGGTGTTTTAGAGAGTGAAAGTAATACCTTTTCATAATTTAATAGAAGCTAAATTACACTTTGGCCCCTTTATGTTTGGCCATTTTCTTATTTTGGCCATTCATGTTTCAATTTTTTTTCAATTTACTTCTAAAACTAACTTTTGTTTAAAATTAGACAAAAATGTAACGTTAATTACTACATAACATAAAAAATATATTATATTGAGATTGGAGTTTGCGTCAGAAATGTGAGTTATATATAATAAAATATTTGTATATCACGTGACTATTAATATGTCATTTTCTGTGTTGATTTTTTGGATATAGGTTAGTTTTTAGAGTAAGGGCTGGTTTGGCTTATCTTAAATAAGTCAAAAAGTCAAAAAGTTACTCTAAAATTCAAAAAAATATCACTATTCACCACAAAAAAAATTTAAAAAATCAATTTTCTTCAAAAAAAAGTACACACCGAATTGATGTGTGTGCAGCTGCTGTGTGCGGCAGTAGAGAAAAAAGAAATGATTGGGTGTGGTTTTTACACACACCGGTGTTCGTCCTATAGGGGTCATCACGGGTCCCGTTTTGATAATCTGAACCGTTCAATATATAGAAATCGTAGAGTACTATATGTCTGCAAAAAATCACATTGATTGGATATCGATAACTATATGATCAAATCAGTTATGTACAACAAATGGATGGTGTTATAATTAATGATTGAAAAATAAATAGATCTGATCAGATAACTATCGATATCCGATTAACGTGATTTTTTATAGATACATAGTGTTCGACGAGTTACACACATTGCACGGTTCAGATTATTAAAATGGGACCCGTGATGACCCCCACGGGCCAAACAAAACCGTCCAATGCTTTGTACAAAAATTAGCCAATAATTTCCAACTCCAATTGAGTCTGCCGGTTGTACAACCGGTTGTATGGCTGGGGCCCCCTCCTCTCTTATCATCTCTTACACACTTTTTTATACAATTTTTTAATACACATTTTTTCATAAAAAATCAAAAAGTTAACCCAAACCTCCATATATTTTTTTTTGGTCTTTTTTAGTCCAAAAAGATAAAAAGTGTACTTTTTTAGGACACCCCAAACCAGCCCTAAATTAGAAAAAAAAAAATTAAAATATCAAGGGTTAAAGTGAAAAAAACAAATTTTGAGAGACAAAGTGAGAAAATGACCAAACATAAATGAGGCAAATTGGCTAAGGCTTTTTTAATTGACTTTTTTGAGTTGAAACGTTTTTAACTTGAGATTAAAAAGTTTGTTTGTGTTAGTTTTTTTTACTTTTATGAGAATAAAAATAAAATGATTATGGTTTAAATGTGATATTTTGTCTTATCAACTTATTTTGTCTTTTGTACTTTTTTTTAATCCCAACCATAATTGCCAAACGAAGCTTTCTCTTAAATGGGTCAATGAAATGCAGACCGAGTTATAAGGCCCACATTTTTTTCACACCCAAAACCTTTCCCTCCGTTTGGAATTCAAAATCCTCTGAAATTTTCCCATTCCCAATTGTCTTTCAATCCCTCCCTAACCAAAAATGCCTTCCCAAACTCGAAGACAAAATCAAAACCCTCAGAAGAAACAATGGTCATTGCAAGACTTCGAGATCGGAAAACCCCTCGGCAAAGGCAAATTCGGCCGCGTTTACCTCGCTCGCGAACTCAAGGTACACATCTACATCGTGCCTGATTTTGTGATTTGTTGATTTGAATTTGGGATTGTGATGTTGATTGTGGTTGCAGAGCAAGTACATTGTGGCATTGAAGGTGATATTCAAGGAGCAGATAGAGAAGTACAGGTTGCATCACCAGCTGAGGAGAGAGATGGAGATCCAGACCAGTCTTCGCCATCCCAATGTCCTCATGCTTTACGGTTGGTTCCATGATGATGAACGAATCTACTTGATTTTGGAGTACGCTCACCGCGGTGAGCTCTATCGCGAGCTCCGAAAAACAGGTCATCTTACCGAGAAACAGGCCGCCACTGTAATCCTCTCTCTCTCTCTATATATATATATACACACACACATATAATGTTGGTTCTCAAAGTATACAGTGATTTTCATATTGGACTCTTATATTTTAATTGTGTGAATTTGATCCATTAGAGCATCTTCAACACTTGGTCTCTCTTATTTTATTTATTTTTATTAGAGCATCTCTAATGGAGGCTCTATATCTTCAAATATAGAGGATTCTGTGAAAAAATTCACTCCAACCCATCCTCTATATCCTTCTCCATTTGGCAGGATGGATGTTTCATCCTTCAAATTTGAAGGGAGTATGAAAAATGAAGGATCATCTCTATGACACTATTCATTCTACATTTTTTATTATGTTACAAATAACTTTTAATATGTAAATTTAATTTTTATAAAATTGACATCATTAAAAAATGTGAAATCATACCTTTAAAATAAGTATAATATTAAATATGTTTCACAAAAATTTTAAAATTAAATATTTGTTAATGAACAAAAATTACTTTTTGATGAAGGGAGGATGAAGGGTTTTGAAGGTTTGTGGTTGGAGTTTAAATGAATAGTAACATACCCTATATTTACTTTTTGAATAAAAAAAATTATTTTCATCCTCTTGGTGAGAGGATTGGGTTAGAGATGCTCTTAAATATGATTGAAAATTTCGTTGAAAGCTTGATATGATATAGAGCACTCCAATCATTAATGTTTTTGAAAATTTTAAAACTTGTCTCTTAAGTCTATTTTAACCATTTCCGAAGAAAGAAAACCGTCTCCAATCTTTACTCTTTTTAAAATTTCATCAAATTTGAGTAAAAATGTAACTATTGGGAAATTGGTGAATGATTTGGTTTATCCTTGATTTGTAAATAATTTCTCTCCTTTGATTTGATATAGATGCAGCCATAATTGTTGACTTTTGGTGAATAGTGTTAACTTTTTAACTTTTTGAGTAACTTTTTGACTTTTTGACTTTTTTACAAGTTCCCAAACTTGGCCTAAATATTTGTTAATAAACAAAAATTACTTTTTGATGAAGGGAGGATGAAGGGTTTTGAAGGTTTGCGATTGGAGTTTAAATGAATAGTAACATACTCTATATTTACTTTTTGAATAAAAAAATTTATTTTCATCTTCTTGGTGAGAGAATTGGGTTGGAGATGCTCTTAAATATGATTGAAAATTTTGTTGAAAGCTTGATATGATATAGAGCACGCCAATCATTAATGTTTTTGAAAATTTTAAAACTTGCCTCTTAAGTCTATTTTAACCATTTCCGATGAAAGAAAACCGTCTCCAATCTTTACTCTTTTTAAAATTTTATCAAATTTGAGTAAAAATGTTACTATTGGGAAATTGGTGAATGATTTGGTTTATCCTTGATTTGTAAATAATTTCTCTCCTTTGATTTGATATAGATTTAATGAAATGGTTGGAGCACACTTTTTGCCATTTTTCATCAAATTTGAATTTGCTGAAGGATTTGAGATACTTGAAAATTTAGACAAAAATGCTCCTGTTATAAAATTTGGATGAAAATGGTGTTAATGACTATTTAAACACAAATTAAACATACTGGGGACTAAATTGACATAATTGAAAATTGGACCAAAATGACGCATTGCATGTTTTAGTCACCAACAATGTATTCATATGTATATGTGAAATTTGGTATTCTCTCCCATTTTCTCTTAAATTGTGATATTGCTTAATTTGGGTTTTGGGTTATTTTGTTTGGTATGCTTTTAGTTGTTGTTCTATTCAATTTTCAAATTAGAGTAGTCTTTTTTGTGTCTTTTGATTTCTGTTCTTTTTTATATTTAGGTTTTTGGGTGTAGAAATTTTATACTTTTATTTCTTTGTTGGGAAATTTTAGTACATTGCGAGCCTTGCGCAAGCCTTGGCGTACTGTCACGAGAAGGATGTGATTCATAGGGATATCAAGCCAGAGAATTTGTTACTTGATCATGAGGTATTCTGCAAAATATTTTATAATCCCATTGTAATTTCATAAACTGGAATTGTATGTTTTTAGTTTGTTGAACTAGCTTGATGCAATTCCAAAATGAAATATTCCCCAATAATGCTACATACGCAGAAAAAATGTACAAAAAAATTAATGTGTGGCTTCACGTAGGATGACTATATTTCCAATTGCATTTTCATTTGTTTGGCCTTTCTGAAGATAATTCAGGTTTTGCTCAGAATCTTCAGCCAAGTTTTTCTAGACCTATCAATATGGTCTACTCTTTTCAATTTTTTGCATATTCATGGACAGATTGGAACTGTAAAGTTATTTCTACCTGATTTTGTGTGGTATTCAATATGGTCATATATTGAATCCAAAGTAGCCCTAACTTTCGCTTCAAATGGATTTTTAACCTTGATTGGATGTGCTTTTTGAGTGGCTTGTTTATCTAACTCAATCAGAATTTGTCACATACGTAAGAAAGAACTGTTTTAGGCATCATTTCTACAATCCACTTTTCATTATATTGGCATACAAGGCTAAAATTATTCTCTCATCCTAGTGTGTTGAGTAATTTGGCTGAAGTGCTTGAAACTTTAAATTGTCATATCCGCAGTTACACAAAGTCATGTTGATTTTAGTTCAGAACAAAGAATAAAGTTAATGTTCTATATTGATCAACTATTGCATTACAATGGCAGGGTCGTCTAAAGATTGCAGACTTTGGGTGGTCTGTACAATCCACAAGTAAGAGACACACCATGTGTGGAACTCTGGATTATCTAGCCCCAGAAATGGTGGAGAACAAAGCGCACGACTATGCAGTTGATAATTGGACTTTAGGTATCCTGTGTTATGAGTTTCTATATGGTGTCCCTCCATTCGAGGCTGAGAGCCAAACCGATACATTCAGAAGGTACGCAGATTTTTTATTTCTGCTTTTTTGCTTTGTGTGGTGTGTTTTGATCAGTGTTATTAAAGGCGTGCCTAGGTGTGCGCCTAGGCCCAAGTCCCATCCAAACTCAAGGTTTGTGCCTTGTAGTGTTCCAGGCTAGGCGACTTCGATAAGGTGCCTGATTGGTCCAAGGCATAAGGTTCAAGGCTTGTGTCTTGAGGGCTTTTTTTATTGTTGCTTTAATTGGTTTCGTTTAAAATTTGACCATTGATTTAATATGGTGAAGTTATAGAAGATCTCTACTCTTATTACAGATGCCAATGCATTGGGCATTCAATCCCAAATCAATGATAGAAAAAGAAATTAGCCCTAATTCCTAATCTCCGAATAACACTAAATGTTTAACATTTCATTTTGTTTATGTTGAATCCTAAATTATTTATTTATATTAAATTATATATTTGTTTTCGTACAAGGTGTGCCTCACTTCAGCGAAGCCTGTGCCTTGAGTCTAGGCCTCACGAGACATTGGCACCTTAGTGCGCCTATCGCCTTTAATAACACTGGTTTTGATCATATTGTCAGGTAGATAATGAAGTAACTTTTGTTAGAATTCCTACAATCAAATTACAAAAAAACCAACACTAATGACAAGAGTCCAAATGAATAAACTGTGAACAATAGAATAATGACACATAATCTTGAGCATATGAATTTGATAACAAAATATTATGTAAAAATGGAATACAGAAACTTTGGTTTATGAGTGACTGAGAAGTGTGTAGTCACTCTATTTCTAAAATTGTTCCTTCCCACGTGAATGTACAAGCAGAGATGGAGTGCAACAGCTCCAACATTAACCTAATTTGCTTAGAGCCTTTTTCGGCTAGTGTTCACATCCAACAAGAGGATATGAGCGAGTTACAAACCAAAATTGCTGGTAATATACAAAAATAAAGTGATCATAAGGTTCTTTGTATTTTTGCTATATATATGCTGCATAAAACTCTACATCTCTCTTTTGTAAAATCTCAACAAGAGCATGCACATGTAAACTATCTGCTTGTGCCCAACTTTTGTAGGAACACGTGTGCATATAGGATGAGAAGTAACTTATGAAAAAATCTCAAAATTAAAATGAGAATTGTTATATATTAATTTGTATAAATGAATAGTAATTATATACAATATTTAATGTGAGGATTAAATAATAATTATTTTATTTTTATTTGAATACAGGATTATGAAGGTGGACCTCAGCTTCCCTTCCACCCCTCAAGTTTCTGCAGAAGCTAAAGATCTCATTAGCCGGGTAAGCTTGTTTATCAGCATCTTGTAATTGTAACGTGAGTCTGGAACAATGGTTGCAGTGAAAGATTCAATTGCTTTTCTAAAGTGTTTCCTGAAAATTGTGCAGCTTCTTGTGAAGGATTCATCCAAAAGGCTCTCTCTTCAGAAGATAATGGAACACCCTTGGATAATGAAGAATGCTGATCCAATGGATAAGTGCTCTAAATTGGATGTTTAGATCTGGTCTCAAGTCCATGACTCCAAGGAATCGGTACATTTGAATTCTAAAGTATATTGTCGAAAAAATGTGGTAGAACATAGATACTACAGGTAATTTTGCAGAAAATTGTGCAGCTTCTTGTGAAGGATTCATCCAAAAGGCTCTCTCTTCAGAAGATAATGGAACACCCTTGGATAATGAAGAATGCTGATCCAATGGATAAGTGCTCTAAATTGGATCTTTAGATCTGGTCTCAAGTCCATGACTCCAAGGAATCAGTACATTTGAATTCTAAAGTATATTGTCGAAACAATGTGGTAGAACATAGACACTACAGGTAATTTTGCAGCCTCCAACTCTAATCATGTTTTGTACTTTGCACAATGGCCAATATAGATTAACGGGTTGTGTTGAATGTATTTGTGCAAAATTCCTTTAACTTTAACCTTACCCGTTTAGTTTTTTGTATTATAGTCTTATGTCATTTTGAGTTAGTGTCTTGCTAATGTGTAATGGGTAAATTTCACTTTATACTCTCACACTTTAGCTTGAATTCTACTTTAACCCTTGAACCTTTTCGTACTAATTTTTCTTTTCTTACAATCAGTAGGATAAGAATAGGAAAATAAAAAATTGCGTTTGCAATTATAAGACTCAAATTTCCATGTGTTGTTAAAAACACTCACAAAATTTCTCTTCCACAGCCACCTCCCTCTTGACACAATTAGGAATCATGCTTCACTAATTTAGTTAGTGTATTTTTATGCTGATTTCCAAAATTAAATCTACTAAAAAAGTCAAGAAATAAAAATAAGAAATCACTGTTTAGGCTATGCTTGGTAGGTCCTAAATAAATCAAATGAAACTTGTGACCCCTTGGCCACTTTTAACTTCCTTGTATATGGCCACTGCTTTTTGCATAACTTTAGGTTTGTTCAGCTTCTCTGCTCTCTTAGAACCAGATGGATGAGTTGCAGATAGTCCTCTATCCTCATCTCCGAGCCGCACCTCATAAACTTTCGGGGCCTCCTGTGGGTCGTACCCGGCTGATGCCATCAACATTAACCCTATGTAGTCTGCTTCAAATTCCATCCTACACCCAATAAAAATATAATAATTTAAATAAAAATTACTAAGTCAAAATTTCAAAAAAAATTAAAAATGGCGCTTATTCAAACTTAACATATATTTATGAATTTCAGTGGTCAAATATTGTTTCCTTTCTCAGGCTATTGTAAATGGGAGCCTTCTACAATAGGTACAACTTCCGAGCGAGAAAAGAATCGATCAGCTGGATTAATAGAAAATCAATACAAAATGATATGATGAGCCTTATTCTTATCAATTTCAAGCTAAACAACCATTAATGTGACTTAATTTTCTAAAATGTCATTGTATCATTCTAATCAACAATTCTAAAAATTCTGTAAGCATTTATCTTTTTTCTTTCAACATTTGGTATCCCAAAGCATTCTGCAATGGGAAACAAAATTAAACACAACTCAGGGAATCTCACAATTGAGTACGAAATTGATTATCTTATCAATTTCAAGCTAAATGTCATCGTTGCATTATTTTGATCAACAATTCTGTACAAAAGTTTTATAAGCATATCATTTTTCTTGTAACATTTAGTATTCATGGTCTTGATAGATTGTGAATTGCTACATTACATGCCCCACATAAACATGGCTAGAAAAAACAACTGTGATAAATCATCCATATACCTATGAGAAATATTCAGAGAACATTTTTCAAACAAGTCAAGTGCATTGAAGTCAAGCCCCAATGTATAGATAGTGATTCTATTGAATAGTGATACATACAACACACCAAGCATTTCAACAATGGTGAACAAAATTAAGCTCGTAATTTGGGAGATCATAGAATCGAGAACGATACCTCCGGGAGATGAAAGAAAACAATATTTCATATAATTTGAGGGTGAATTTAGGGTCTAGAGGAAAAGGAATGAGCAACAGCAGTGCCAAAATCCAAGCAAGCTTCATGAAGTGTTCTTGTGCATGCTGACCTATGCCATGTCCAACCTGCTCCCCCCTCCCCCCCAAAAAAAAAATAATAAAAATAATAAAAATAAAAATAAAAATAAAAATAAATAAAGAATTAAAGAAAAGAAAAAAGAGGTTCAAAATGTATTATCAAATTTGAGTAAATCAAACCTCATTTTGTACCTCTTTTCTGAGAGAATTTTGAATCTCAATTATATGAGAGGATTCAAAAAGAGGTTCAAAATGTAATCATTAAATCTGAGTAAATCATATAATTGAGAGGATTTTTACTCATAATAATAAATTTGTATGGTGAAGATTGAATTAATATAGTGTGAGGTACAAGTGTAGAATAAATTTAAACTATAGATTGATGTTTCTAGGTAAAAATTTGAAATAGAACTTCTGTACTATAGTATTACTATATTGAAATTTACCTCATGAGCAAGAATAGTTGCTAGCTCCGCATCAGATTGGAGACAATCAAGCAACCCTGTAAACACCACAATCCTGCCCTCAGGGATATAATAAGCATTCTTGGTATATGATGAATCCACCAACATCACTTCCCAATTCAATCCATCCAAGTGCTTTGTAGCGAATCTTCTTCCCAATTTTCCTATCCTTTTCACATCGTTTTCATTACCCAATTTCTCGACTCTCACCTCAAAGTCGTGTTGTTGCTGTCCTGACCCATCCACGGCCATAATCACCTGTGGATTCTCACTCGAGCACATGTTAACACTGCAATTCTTTTCAAGTCTCAACCCATTATGCATTGCTTGAACTATCTCTCCTAATATAGATTGCACGCGAATGCTTTTCGCGCTTGAGGGTGGTAATATGGACTTTTTGTAATACTCCTCTATGTTCTTGAACATGAACTTTCCTATCTTTCTCTCCAACATGTTACATGACAAAACAAAATGGTACCTCCTTGAATATGGAATTCTCTCCAACCTACCAAAGCTAACCGCTATCCAAACACATAAACCAACAAGAACGAATCTAGGGTTTTGGAGCCATTGTTGCCATGGAAGCTTGGAGAGCTCAACAAGGTACCGGTTAGTGCCGGTAACAAGGCTCCTTCTTGAGGCAAGTAGAAGTCTTGAATTTGTGTGTTTGGTTGATGAGAAAAACATGACAGAGGAGAACATGCAAACCCTACTTACGTATTTGAGTAGATTGAGAGGATTTTTTTGTGTTCTTGGGCGTTGCAACTTGAATCTGCCACCATTGATGATATTTCGAAGAAAACCTTGATCATGAGATACAATCTTGTTAGAGCAGAGTGTTTGGGAATTGAGAAAAATAGGAAGCTTTGATCTCAAGTAAGAGAAACCCATGATGTGATGTTTAATTGCTGCACAAACTAATAATATATTTGGTTAAAGCTTCATCAATCTAGGGTTTATTTGAATTTTTTCTTTCTTGATAATTTCGGAACTAAAGTAAAGAAATGCAATGCTGATAAAGAGATGATTTATCGGCAATGTTAATTGGTGAGGGACTAGTTTTGGGTTTCTTGGCAAAGAAGATATAGCAAAGGCTCTGTTTGGAGCCGTTTTTTTTTGGACAAGAAGTTTATGGACACAGGTAGGTGTAACAATTAAGTTAAATTATATCTTTTTATGGTGGCCCCACAATGTAATGTGTATAATTATAATTTTTTTGTGGTTTGGTTTATGTCTATAATCTTATTGCACTTGAAAATTTCTCTTCAGAAATCCCATTTGGCATAGCTAAGAATGATTTTTTTATTTTTTTCCCTGCTAAAAATAAGAATATGAAGCCCATTTTAATTATCTTGAATTTACTTTGAATGAGTATGCGTAGTGGATATTAAATTTGTGTAGTGTGAAATTTATGTGTACGATTAATCTGAATTATACGATGATAATTTTAAATAATTTCTAAATGATTAAATCTGAATTTGTATTATTATTGTAAAAATAAACCAAACAGAAAAATCCTATTTGTCTTTACTTTAAAAAAGTTTTAAAAGGCCAAATTTTGTCAATAATAATAATAAAAAAAACGACTTTTTTAGCAATTATTAAATGTATTAATTTTTTAAAATTATAAAAATGAAAATAATAAAAAAAATAATTGCCAAAGTCCATCCAGGATGTACAATGAGTTGACAAGTGGGCTTTGCAGTGGCAGAATGCTATTTTTTGTGGATAAATTATAGTTTGCTCTGAGAAAAAATTCTAAGTGATATCCCAACTTCAATTTTGTGAAATAGTGGATTGTATTATTTATTTATTTTTTTATATTTCTTTTTGGGAGATAATTATTGTGTTTGGTTTTAATTTTTTGAATTTAATTTTTAAAAAATTGATTTTTTTTGTTTTTCATATTTTTTGATTTTCAGTAAATATTTTTAAAATTTTAAGCAATTTTTTATTTACTTTTTTAGATACATCTTACTTAGATATATCTAAAAAGTAAAATTTTGTAAAAAAATTATAAAAAATCAATAAATACACAAGAATACAAAAAATATACTAAATTTTTTGTATTTTTTTAATATATTTTTGGTATTTAATGACTTTTTTTAAAAAAAAAAAATCACAAATATTATTATTTTTAAGTGTATTTATGTTAGGTGTATCTAAATTTTTTTTTAAAAAAATTGCTTAAAATATTTTTTAAAATTTTAGTGAAAAAAAAACACGGGAAACAGAAAATTTCAATTTTTTAAAAAATAAATTCAAAAAACTCAAATCAAACAAGCTGAATACTATAGTTGTTCTAACTAGGGATGTTTATGGGTCGGTTTGACATTAAATTTAGAATCAGTCCAATTATGATTGGTTTTAAATTTTTGAGCTCAGAGTTAAATCAATCATGCATTAGAACCAACTCAATTTAACTCAACTCAATCCAACCCAACCCAATGTAGCTCGGGTTGGAACCGCAATTCCATTATATTAAAAATAAACAAATCAATCAATAATAAGTAATTAAAATAAACAAGTTTTTGACATTTAAACATATCATAAATAAAAATCAAAATATTATTTATTACAACCCAATATAAATTAAATTTATGGCAAGTTTAAATATAATTAATACAAATTAAATCCATTAGTACAACCAATACAAATTAAATTAATTGCGAAATTTGAATCAAACATCTAGTACTTTTTTTTTTTTTTTTGGGGGCCAATATTGTAGGATGTTAGTTTGTTTAAAAAATTATATTATAACTAAAGTGATCGTCATTATTCTATCAATTTGAACTCACTTTCTTTCTCATCACACCTTAAGGTGTGGCTACAAGGCCGCTAGGTCAAATCCAAGATCTCATTTAGTACTTTTTTCATTTACCTAAAAATTCTTGTATATAAAAAATTATTAGGTATAATCAAATCCATTATAATAGAGTAATAAGGCCAATATTGTAGGATGTTAGTTTGTTTAAAAAATTATATTATAACTAAAGCGATCGTCATTATTCTATCAATTTGAACTCCTGACTTTCTTTCTCATCACACCATAAGGTGTGGCTACAAAATCACTGGGTCAAATCCAAGATCTCATTTAGTACTTTTTTCATTTACCTAAAAATGCTTGTATATAAAAAATTATTAGGTATAATCAAATCCATTATAATAGAGTAATAAGGTGAATACATGTCAATGTAAATAAAATTTTAAAATATATATATATATAAACAAGTTTGATTCTCAAGTTAATTCGATTTAAGCAAGGCCTAAATCAAGAATCAACTCAGCCTTATTGGTTTGATAATTTGAAGTCGATTGGTTTGGTTCTTCGATTCATTGGTAATTTGAACACCTTTGATGAAAATTTGATGAAAACAGTGCTCCAACCGTTTTATCAAATTATTATAAAAAATCAATAGTGCAGGAGCACCGGGACAACCGGCCCGGACATCCACTTCTTTATAATTTACATTTGCCGGTCGACCGGTCGGACATCTTTCCGATTGACCGATGATTTGATAAAAATTCACAATTCTCTGTTAAAAAGCTCAATATCATATTAAGCTTTTACTTAAATTTTCTTTTAAAATTTATTTATAAAAAAAAATAAACGTTAACGATATTTTTAATTTTAACATATGTGGTGTGGAGCAATGCTCACCAAATAACTATGGAGAAGAAATCCGCCAAATAACTTTCTTTTCCTTTTTCTGTCTCTTCTTCTCCACAATTATCAATATTTTTCTTGGGTTGGTCTTGGAGTAAGCAACTGATAATTTTAAGGTTTACTAATCGTTTGGCAAGTTAGTTCTTTTAGTATTTTTTTAAGTTGTTTTATAAGGTGAAAATGGTTAGTGTGTTTGGAATATTTTTTTAGTTGAACAGCTAATTAAGAGAAAAAGTGATTAATCGATATATATGATATGACATTTTAATTTTGTCATTTTTTAAAATTATTTTTAGCCAAAAATTCACAAACCAAATGGCCTAAGTTTAGTTGTTTAGTATAAATCTAGGAATTTCATAATACTTTTTGTGTGTTTTAATAATATTTGTTAGGTAAATTCTTGAATACGCTCTCGAGATATAACTAATATATATAACAAGTCTTACGATCTTGACCTATTTATATTGACATCTCTTTTAAGGAAGTTAAATAGATTGAAAATTAATACAAATTGTGTGAATACACAGAATAAACAAGAAAAATCATACATTGTAGTATAAAAAATATTATTAATGAAAAATTAATGAAAAAGGTGACTGAGTATTATCTTAATTAAAACTTTAAAAAGACTAATATAATTATATAAAATTATAAGATTTATTTTATTTTTATTAAAATTTAACGGAGATGAATATAATTTACCTATTTGTTATTACATATTACGCAATGTTCACTCAACTCATTCATTTCCAAATAATGTTTTCAGTCTTGTTATTAAAGCAAAACGATATTTACAAAAAAAAAAAAAAATGTACAAAGATTATGATATAAAAAAATGAAATAATCATTTTTACTACTTGTATTGCTGTTAGCTTTTTGACTTTCGAAGGTTATTTTTGTAATTATGAGCGTGCCAGCAAGGATCAATCAGTCCTTACATAATTTTGATTGCCAACCAATTATCAGATGATTGTGTTGTAGTTCTTTCAGCCTCAATGAAGAGGACTTTTACTAGTAGCTTGATTTAGGAGAATTTAAGCACAAGAACAGTTAAATAAAGAGCAATTGAAGCATTTCATTAGTATGAAAAACTTACAATGATCCAAATTCAGCATCGTAGAGGTTTACAGCGACAATCTACTTGAAACTACTCCTATGAATGAAGTGCAGTGCAAGAATTTAAAGTACAGGAATGTAAAGAACAGGAAATAAAAAAACTGGAACGAAATATGTAAAGTGCGACTGGTTTTTTTGATATGAGTCTGGGGGATTTTTCTGGGGTCTTCCCTGCTATTTATACTCCTCAAAGATGACCATCGAACTGCACTTCAAACTGTCGAACTGCTCCTCCGTGATCACTGATTATGCTGCCTTATAAGTAGTTCCACTATGCCATCGCTTGCAGTTAAGCTTCCCTCCTATATTTGAATTTGAATGTGAGTAACTGTTGAAGCCACGTCACCTTGCATCTCTTTGCTAATCCAATGTTACTCGGACCACGTAATAGACAATATCAACTGTCACGTGTACGATCAGGATCAAAGACTCGAACAGCCTTCCTATATTACCCTTACTCTGCCACGCGTCAAACTGTAACTGGTCTTTTACAAAATATGTAGCCAACATTACCCCTCGCACTAATATACCCAATACTTGGTGATATTAGTGGATCAAAGCCTTTCTTCCGCGTTTCTTAGAACGTGCATGGGGTCTAGATTCTAGAAACACAACCGTCACTTATTGATGATCATTTGCATTAATTCTCTTTCAATTTTTTGAACACCCC